GATGCCGGAAATAGAAGTTTGCAAAAACATTGCTTTCTCAGAGGTTCAGCCTCTCAATTCCTTAATTTTTATAATTCAGTACTTAAGCTGTTCCAGTTTAATCATGTGTCGTATATTTGCTGTTTTTAAAATATAAATCTTATTTATAAGATTTATAGACATTACATAGCAGAAATTGGCTCAGTGAAGGTATGGTTATTGCAGCTCTTTCTCTAAACTTAATTTAATGGAAATAAGCAACACTGTAACCATTCTCTGAAGTAAACTTTCTCTAACAAAGAAGTTTAGTATAGGTGGAGTCTCTTTTCACTGTTCAATGACTTTATAAAATATTGCCATCAGTTGGAACTGGATAAAGTAGCTCACCTCCTAGAAGTGGCTTTTCACTTGGCTAATTGAATGCTGGATTGGGTGAACCATCCTGTTATGGTTGATACATTGTGTCAACTTAAGGAGTCTAGAAGTGTAACTAAGTAACTCAGCTGTTCTACATCCTGGGGTGAAAAGGACATGCCCTTCTGCTCTTGGACGTTGTTCATTGTGTCATCTTGAGAAGTTTTGAAGGTTAGCTATGTGACTCAGCAGGGATCCAGGTCCTTACCTTGTATTCATCTGAGCCTTTGCAAGAGGAGGGCACGAAGATACTGTGGGCCTAAGTGGATAGTGGATATACAATATAAGGAGGGAAAGAGGCTTGCTCGCTCCCCTTTTTGCTCTTGCTGCTTTTGCTGTCTTGTGCCTCCTTGAAGTTTTGCCCCTGTGCCCTGCCACCTGCCTTGGAGTGAGCTGATTATAAACTGGAACCTCCATAAGCTGTGAGCTAAATAAACCTTTCGTTCCTTAATTTTAGGTGCTGAGTATTTTGTCTCAGCAATGAGAGAAAAGTAACCAAGACACATTCATTACCTATCTTCCATCTGTCTGTTTGACCAAGGACTTATTAGGGGTAATTTTTCATCCCAAATTACTTCTCCTTCTGGGTCAAAGAAGGAAAAGTAATTTGGCCCACTTAGAATATTTTTGCAAATGGAGAGACATGCTTATGCTCCTGTGTCTTCTAAGTTAATCATTACTGTGCCTCAAAGTCAAATGTAAAGGCATAATTAGTGCTTTGGTGGATTCTCTGTTGGTATGGTTAATTTTCAGTGTCAACTTCACAGAATAAAGGTGTCAGTCCATTTGAGGGGGCCCAAGGGAGATTTTCTGGGGTGAGGTTGCAAGGTTAAAGGTCACACATGTTGCTAGACATCAGCAACAGCAGCAGGCAGCATGGAGCAGAGCAGAGAGCAAGAGCAGGAGAGCCAGAACAAGAGCCACCTGTGTCTTATTGTACAATTTTTATACAGGTTGTTATCTCATGTTTACATTCTTACATACTGTGGTAACCAGCACACATGTGATTACCTGTGTTAAGTCATCATTACATAACTTTAGCCCACTGTGTGCCTGCACTAGACAGGCAGGGTCATGTCTTCAGGTGTCCTTAGATACCCCTGAGATTTGAAACAGTCTAAGTAGCTCCCCACAGAAAGGATGCCCTGACAGCTGAGTAAATACTACTTCTATGAGTCATGCATAAGTGTAGCATTTGATTTAGAAGACTGAGTAAGGAAGATGTCCTCACCAATGGAGGTCCCCATCGTACAAATTCATTGAGGGCTGGAAGAGAAGAGAAAGGTGGAGGAAGGGTAAATTTTTTCCTGCCTCTCTTCTTGAGTTGGGAATCTTCCACTTTCAGACTTCAGAGCCCCTGCTTCTTGGGCCTTTGGATTCGGGAACTTACCTCTACCCTACCTCCAACCCCTAGTTCTTAGGCTTTGGACCTTGGAGTAGAGCTACGCCAAGGGCTGCCCTGGTTCCCAGGTCTTCAGACTCAGGTGGAATTGCACCTTTAGCTTCCCTGGTCCTCCAGCCTGCAGAGGGCTTACTGTGGGACTTCTCAGCCTCCTGAGTTCTGTGAGCCAACTCCCGTAATAAATCTACTCTGGCATATGGAGATATTGTGAAAAGAGCCCTGACTAGTACACCTATAAGACTCTCTTCCTCAGTAGGTAATTAAGAGTTGACCTTGTTAATCAGTCAAATGTCTCTCAGCAGATGGAGAAAAGAAGTAGGCAGTATGCTTGCTCTGTGCCTGACAAAACCAAACAACACGCCTGTGAAAATCAGGCTAGATTTTTTCACATTAGCAGGGGATCTCGTGACCTACACAGGAATGAATCCATATTTCTTCAATTTATGGTGAAAAATTCAAGAGCTCAGGGCCAGTGGTCCATTTTAAGCTCTATTATGGTTTACATGTAAAATACCCACCCCCTCCAAGTCTCATGTGTTCTGAGGTGGGGCTTTCGGAAGGTGAGAGTGTCATGAGGGTGTTGTACTCGTCAGTGGACTCATCCATTGATAAATTTATAGCTAAATGTGCTCCTAAGAGGTGGGGCCTGGTTGGAAAAAGTTGTGTCACTAGGAGCTGCCTTTAGAGTGTGCGTCTCCCTCACTGGCTTCTCTCTGCTTCCTGGTTGTCATGGTGGAGCAGCTCTCCTTGCCATGCCATCCGCCATGATTTTTCTGCCTTTTAGCCAGGCGACTATGGACTAAATCACTGGAAACCCAAGTCATGAGCCAAATTAAACCTCTTTAAGTTGTGACTGTCAGGTATTTTGTACCACTGATGGCAAGGCTGAACTAATACAAACTCCCCAGGAAATCTATTAAGAAGGGGCAAGAATTAGGTCTAGACTCTTGAGCAAATGGTCTCTTTGCTTTTGTGTTCAAAATGCTATCATAGGGCCAGGGATATAAACGTCTGCCTGGGAAGCACAAGGTCCTGAGTTTGATTCCCAGTACCAAAAAAAAAAAAAAAAAAAAAAAAAAAATGCTATCAAAAGACCAGCAAATTTTTAGCCATGGTAAAGAGTCACCTAGAGTAAATCAGCCACAGCTCAGATTTGTCCTGGATAGAAGTATGTCAAAGTGAAATGTAGCTTCACGAAGATCACTCCACTGCTGAGTTCTGCTTGATGAGTGGTCTTATCTCTCAGTCCTCTTGGGAGCTTGCCTTTGGCTGGCAAGAGCCATGTGCTTCCTTTCCAGGGCAGCCTTTTGTATCACCCCAGCTTGGGATGAGTCCATCTCAGCTTCAGAGCTCCTGTTTGGTCAGCTGAGACCTCTCTTGAGTTGTAGCACAGCTCGGCCTCTTCCTGTGCTCCACCCTGCATCCTTCCCTTTCCTTCTATAAGCAATGACTTGAGCACATACCCCATAAAGCTTCTGTATGCTCATTTCCATCTCTCACTCTGCTTTGTAGGAAGTCTAACCTATGACCCGTATCTTCAGATCTTTTCCCTTCATCACGAGTACCCAGTGTCCTCATGACCTTACTCTTCATTTTCTGTCAAACATGCTTTCAAATTTATTTTTAAAAAACTGAATGACCAACATTTGCTTTTGGAAAGAATTTGATAAATGTATCCTCCTTAAGGATTAAGAGACCTATGAAACACTATCTGTGAAATATCTAGTTTCTTTCTCTGTAGTGACCTCTACACTTTTACAACCCTCATGAGTTGACTATCTTGATTCTGGCCTTATGCTAAAAACAGAGCTCCTATAAGTGACTTCTCAGCCATCTATATATAAATGGACCAAAGCAATGCCTTACCTTTCTAAATTTATTTGGGGAAATTGCTAAAATTGTCTATGTCTAATGCAGTTCACCTCATGCTAGTCACTCTGCTAACAGGGTTAGAAGTCAATGCTTTCAAAAAGCCATTGTGCTTTATTGTGCTTGTACTTTTGTATCAAATGCAGCATTATGCAAACTTTGGTGCAGATGACTCATTAGGAGTTTCCTCTTCAGTAGAAAAATATTGTGAAGGTCACAGCATGGGTAAACCACCGTGTTTTGAGTCTTTCATTTTCAGTGATTAAAATGAAGAAGTTATTGGAAGGCTTAGATAGCCCACCCCAAGTCATTTACAATAGCTGCCATTAGGAAACCGGAATGCCAAGTTAGCCTTTTAAAGAGAATGCAATGAGACTGACCATGCATATAACTGAAATCCCTTTTGAAAATGGCTAAATTAAGGGTATGGACCATCACTGATCCGTGCCACTCTCTGGTTCACTCTCATTCTGGGTGTTAAGATTTTCCTGCATAGTTGTCCTTTGGCTTTATACAGATGCAACCTTTCGAGCTACTTGTATCATTTCTTTTCTTTTTTAATGAAGCTAGTTTCACCTAGCTCTGACATTCATTTCTCCTTCAAACATATTTTTAGGTCACCTGAGACTGTTCATGGAAGTTGAATGATATTGTTTAATTTCTAAGATCATTTCCCCTGGGGTTACTGTGCTAATGTCTAAATTCTTAGACGTGTTTCTTAATTTACTCTCCCTAGGGTAGCAGCGCTGGTATATCTTAAACTTAGTTAAAAATGCAATTATGATCCCTTGAGTTGCCCCCACATGGAGTCCCCCGCAGCTGGAAGTGGGTCCTCTACAGATTCTGACTCCTGTTTAGGATAGAGAATAACACTTGAATTCAGGGGCAGGAAGAGAAATTCCTACCACCAACCTGCTTTTTTTCTTTCTGGAAAAATATTATTGTATTCCCCAGGGAATTGGGATCATTTCTATAACAAGTCCCTTTAGAAGTTAGATCATGTGATCTCAGCTAGGGGTAGTTTTGTCCCCAGGGCACTTTGGGAGACATTTTCAGTTGTCACGACTAAGATGAGTGGAATTGAGTTCCTGGAATCTGGTGAGTAGAAGCCAGAGAGGCTGCAGAACATACTACAGGGTAATTTATAGCTCATCCTGAGTGTTCCAATTTGGGCAGAGTGGATTTGGGGAATGGTGATGAGCAGACACATTTTAATATCCAGGGAAATCAGGAGAGACACAGGAAGTCAGGTCCACTCTGGGCTGGATTGAACAGGGAAAGTCAATATCATTCCACTTTGGTGGTTCTGATGTGTTTACTATTTCCTGTTTTGCAGACCACCATTTTCAGCACACTGGGCAGTGAGAAGTCCTTATCTGACTGCAAAAAGGTAAGTCAGCATCCAAAAATTCCAGCATTCAGTCTGAGGAAGTCTCAGAGTTGGTGATGTTCCACGAAAAGCTGTGGTGTCCATGAGAGTGTTCTGATGGCGTATTATGAACCTTTCTTTCTTCAGAGATGGAAATGTGAATAGTTCATTTGCAGGATGTGGGGAACCACATTATTGTTCGACAGCATTTTGTTATAGGGAAGCTCTGGTTCCATGTATTTCTATCTCACTAGCATCTGACATTTTATTCCATAAGACGAGCATCAGGGGATTTGAGAGCAAGCTTTGTAACTACATTTACAGGCTTCTACATCTGTGTTTGCAAATTTAAATCTAATAAAAAATCTGATATGATAGTGAAATGATTTTGTATTTTGAAACCTGATCATATAGCATAAAAATCTGGTTTGGGTTCACTACCGTTGAGTTTGAAAAGACATCATGCTTTGCAAAAGGATTAGCTTCAGTAGCATCTGATGGAAGATGTCCCTGTAATAGATCATGTCTGCAGACTGCCTGCTATGACAGCGTGGCGAATCCCCCACCTCACGGGCCAGCGGTCACTTTTATCTGCCTCTTTAATCTCAGATTTAACTAGATCTGCTCCTTCTGGGGGTTTGGGCGGAAACAAGTGATTTTGCAGTCCAGACAACTCAAATAAATTCTTTGACCCTGCCTATTGATATGGAAAACCAGGTGCATAAAGAGTTGACCTGCCTCTAATATATGTTACTCAGCATTTCTTAGCATTTTATACTGTGACATTGTCTGGTATGCTGCTTCTTTTTTTAATGTTGCTTGATGTGGAAGTGGGTAGCAGAGATATTTATCTTTAGAGGTGTTGTGAGGTCTCACTGCTCTGAATAGTATCCATTTTGTCATTTTGATGGTTTTTAGAGGCCTATTACATCTCTACCTTGATTGAGTCCTGCTATGTCTGTCTTGATGTCTACATTGAGTTGGGAGCTGTTTGAGAGTTAGCGCTATGTATTATTTTTAGAATCATAGATCTTGGAGAACAGAGAGACTTAGGGGACCTCTCGTCTTACCTGTTTCCCAGGGTGGGACTGCTTTTGATATTATTTATAGACAGACCTTTAGCTTCTACCTTAATTCCTGTTGAGAGGGAAGCTGATGCTCCCGGTTGTTCACTAGTGAGGTAATCCAAAAATTGGTTTGCCATTTTCCAGACCAGTATTTACCTCCTTTAGGGTTATTATTTAAATGTGGAAGTATTTAATATGCTAATGATTTTCCTTGTCATTTCTAATAGTGATACAGGGGAAGGAAACTTCTGACCTGCTAGATGTCTGGGATGAATTCGTGTTCTCTTAAAATTGAAGAATGAATTTTAGGAACAATGGAGGTTAAGAGCAGAATATATTTATTGATGGAAAGAAAGCTTCTGTCTGAGAGAGAGAGACAGAAGGGACCTGAGTGGGTTGCCAAGGAACCTGCCTTTTCTAGGGAATTTTATAGAGCAAATCCATGGCATGAGACAGATCCAAGGTGGGAAACATGGGAACTCGTTAGGTGAGCATGAGATGGGACAAAACTATGTCAGCCAATAAGATTACAAACACAATTGCTCAGGTAAAATTGATTATATCAGGATCAAATAGGGAAGTGAGTCATGTAGCAAGCAGGCATGAATACAGAACAGGGTCTTTCCTGTAGAGGGTTAGTGAGTTACTGAGTCTTTTTGGCTTTCTCAAGGTTATAGAGACCTATTTAGAATATCAATCCCTGATGCATATCCTTAGGGAGGTGTGTAAGTGCATTTGTTTTATCTTTTGTCTTGAGGTCTGGCCCATGGCTGGAGGTGTCTGTCTCCCCCACAGTTGCAAGGTATCTCATCCTCTGCACTGGCTTCTTTGAGAGCTTAGCCCTATCTGGCTGCCTATAATATTTCTATCTAACTTAGCTGTCTACTACAACAGGACATTGATAGCGTTGACTTCTAAGATCATGGACTATGGAGACCTAGCTGTCTGGTTGTGAAACTTGGCTCTGTCACTTAGTATGTTACAAAACTTACAGGCATCTCATTTTTGTCATCTGTAAAGTGGGGGTAATAATTGTACTCACTCCATAGAGTATATTAATTAGACACATAAAGTGCTTACAACAATGCAGAACACATAAATAAGTGCTGATTGGCTATTTTTATTGCTTTTAGACCATGTAATCTTTTTTATTGGACTGTACATAAATTTTATTTTATTCAGTTATTTTTTATGAGTGCATGTTTGCATTATGTAATGATTACATTCGCTGTGGGGAGTTGGTTCATGTACATAACAGATCTCCGTGCTTTATCTCATCCCCTTTCTGTCCTTTCCCTCTCTCCTCCCTCCACCTCTTGATCTTCTTCCCATTTGAAAAAGTGCTCCCTTCTTCCTATTATCTGTCTTTTATTTTGCTCTTTATTTCTATTTTGAGTTTCTCGTATACACTATGTGACATTTAAGTTTGTGTGTCTAATTTATTTCGCTTAAGTTTATGGCATCTGGGTGCATCCATTTTCCTACAAAAGTCTCAAGTTTATCCTTTTTACAGCCGTGTAGTACTCCATTTGTATAAATACATTTTTTCTATCCATTCATCCATTAATGGGCATGTGTACCATTTCCTTTTGCACAGTGTTATTGATGCCAGGAGTTGGGTATCATTCCCCTGATGTAGCCCGTACGGTATAAATCAGTGTAGAACTTCTCACTCTTAATTCAGAAAGCTCAGTTTATACACCCGGTGGATGTCAGGTACAACATAAGGGGTGGGTATGACAGGAGGGCAAGCTGTAAGCTTTCTTGGGTGTAGCACTAGCAAGCTACCGAAGTGTGAGATGTCAGTTTCCATTTATGAGCCATATCTACTGTTGGCCACTTGAAGTTTGAAGTTTTGCATATGCCCCTGTGACATTTCCACATAAGCTGCTATTAAGAATGATTCTTGTTTATATCTATGCACATGATTCTTTGAGTATAAATGTGGGGCACTTCATATATCCCTGTTTTAATAATTTTGATCTATCAAGCTAACTTATAAACCCAGTCTGTTCTTCAGCCTATTTACTACATCTCCCAGCTCTGTGTAATACACAAATCAGAGTACCATGGTTCCTTATCCATCTCAGCTAAGTATTTGCTGAGCACCATCTATGTGACACACACAGGAATGTCCTGGTGAACAAGTCATGCATGTATTTTCTTTACTTTCATGAGACTAATAGATACTCATTAAACAAGTAATTAGCACAATCCTATGGATAGAAATACTGTTATTTTAAGTTGGGAGTTTATAGACCCTCATACCAGGAGTTCTTCACCTAATCAAGAGGCCAGGGAACACTGCCTAAAGGAAATGATGTTCAAGCACAGAATCAGAGAATGAGTGATGCTGGGCTGCATGAACACAAGGCAGAGGTGGGAGAATAGCAAGTGTGAAGATCCTGAGGCGAGGAGGGGAGGACTATAGAAAACAAAGTGCCTGTAAGTTACAACTGGAAATGGAGAAGGTGAGCAGTGAGCTGAAAAGAAGGGTTATCAGGAGGGCCTGGTGCAGGAATATCGAGCTGTATTTATTCTAAAGGTAATAAGAAAATTTAAACGGGCTGGAATTTGAGAAAACAGGTGTGTGCAGCATAGTAAGATCTTTACCTTAGGATCACTTGGTTGCCAGCAGAGGGATGAGCAAGACCTTTGACATGAAGGGTAGGGATAAGGTTGCTGCTGTCATCTAGGCAAGAGATGGTAACAGCCATGAACAGAATCATTGGGAGTGGAGGCCAAGAAAACTGGGGGGATAAAATCAATAGGAAAGAATCATATTTTGGATATGTGGGAGAGGAAGGAGCTCAGGATGATTTCTAGACTGCTGACATGGGAAACTGACTTGGTATTTGTGCTATTTTTGGAGAGGAGAACTGTTCAGGGAAGAAGTTGATGAGTTCAGATTGGCACATGTCAATTTTGTGGTATTTGTGAGATCTCTTGGTAAGGGTAACCAGCAGAGAGCTGAGCTGAGTTCAGGACAGCGTTCTGAATATGGGAGGAACATGCATATGGAAAATGACAGAGTGAGTGGGAATGTGTGAGACCACCCAGAGAAGATGAGTAGAGTCAGTTGAAGGAGGAGAGTCTGCAAGAACCTTGAGAAGAGTTAATGTAGAGCTGGGAGAAGTCTATGAAGTTTGAAAGAAAGCCAGAAACTCTGTAGGCACGCCTGCAATCCTAGCGCTCTGAGAGCCTGAGGGGGGAGGATTGCAAGTTCAAGCCCAGCCTGGGCAACTTAATGACTTAGATAGAACCTTTCCTTAAAATAAGAAATCAAAAAAGGGCTTAGGATTTAACTCTGTGTGAAGGCCCTAGGTTCAATTCCCAGTACTGTAAAAAAAAAAAAAAAAAAAAATGGAGTGCCTTGGAAATCAATAAAAAAGTAGTACTAACTAGTCTCAAAACTTTGTTGATATGTTAAGCAAAATAAAGACAGTAATGTCCACTAGTTCTATTAATACCATGGGCTATTGCTGGTTTTTATTTCTATCAAGATGTTGGGCATAGAAGCCAGATTGCAGTGGGTTTCAGAATGCGAGGGGTGAAGAAATAGAAGGTAAAAGAGGCTTCCTCAAAAGAAATTATTGCTAAAGGAAGGAAAGAGATAAGTAGCTGGATAAAGGTTATGGGGCTGAAGGATTATATTTTAAGGTGAGACATTTATGTGTGCTTAAATGCTGTAAGAAAGAAGTCACCAGAGAAGGGAAGGGTGAGTGTCCAAGAAGAGAGAGGCAAATACCCACCGAGTGAGGTCACTGAGAACACCTAAGACTTTGGATGCAAACACAGAGTTAAGCTGAGCTAGTTGGGGGGCACCCCTTGCCCGGTAATAGGATGGAGGGGGGAAGGGGTAGAATTCATGTGCGTAGGAGCTATGGAAGCTAGGAACCAAAAATGCCAGAAATTCAGGCATGCAGTTAAATGACCCTGATCAAATTATCTACC